GCTCAGTATAGAGAGGAGTGATCTGTCTACATGGGCCACACCATGATGCACTGAAATTTGCAACAACCTGCAGCAAATAAAAGTTTCAGTTACATGCAACTTGCAAGTCTATAGGGGAAAAATAAATCCTTATAAGGATGGTAACTGATAAAAGCTTGACTAAGGATCAAAAGTTTTAGCTAGCGAGGCATCTGCATGAACATGCTTATAATTGGTATAAACATAAATGTCCGAAGGCCTTAACGGGTATAAAACGATATTGCACCAGTCAACATATGTACTGATTTTGCTCCTTTTTAAGTTTTGATGGCTATGTCCCTTTTCTCCGTTCAATTGATCCTATGGAAATCAACACAATCATAATATTCAAGAAATAGTTCTGATCCATGATATTGAGTATGTTCCCTTCATTTGTTTGGCATTCATTTATTTAGCATCCATCCATTTATAAAGCAGGCATCAATAAAGTCGCTAGCAGTTTTAGGCAAAAGACTTAACAACTATTACATTTAAAAGAAGTTACACTTAAAAGTAGAACAATCTAACCACTCAAGCTTTGTGCCTACATGTACATTAATATTATATAAGAATCCTAATCTGCTCTAAGCCATTCCTTAATATGCAAGTCAGTAAAGCTACAAAAATTATCTACTTCTTGTATATATTTGTGCCCTTGAAAGAACAAAAATAACAATTTAGAATTGAAAAGGTTCTTGTTGGTAGAACAAAGCTTACTAAGATTAAACTCAATTATAAGAACAGAGATTTTATATACCTTGCGGAAGTCCCCAGTGGTGTGGGCAGCAACATCCTCCTCAAGGGATCTCTGCATCGATTATAAGAACAGAGATTTTATCTACCCTTTAGCTAATCAAATCAATTCCAATAGTGGGATTTAATACAATAGCTTGTTCGGTATAGGTAAATATAAATATATAATATACATGTGACGGGCAATGGGCGTGGAAACTGGTGTTCCCACCTCACCTGTAAACTATGTTTTTATCTAAAGACACCCTACACATTGCGGTGGTTCGCGAACGAATGAGCTAAGTATGAACGAATGAGGCACTAAAATTGACGGCGAAATACGCAGGCAAGGAGATATCGCAGCTCGACAGAGCGACGGAGGCTCTAAACAAGAAAGATGAAGCTCTACCCTCGAAGAGATGGAGAAGTTAATTCTTGGTCAGGGTCCGACCACAATCTGCATGGTTTACAATGCCACTGGGGCCCCCATCTATTTCGTTACAGATAAGAACTGGCATGGATATCTTAAGAGCCCCAAATTCCCGGAAAAAATTGAGAATGGGCAGTGGGGTGTTTTTAGTCATTCATCCATGTTGACTGCGCACACCACCGGATTCTCTGCTGCTGTTGTCTATCGCGCCGAGGATATCGTTAGCGGTGACAAGAATGACTGGATGTTTTCTTGGTACGACGGGTTATTGACGAAAGAAGGCGTTCTTCAAAAGGTAACATTAGGAGGCTCAGGCTATTATGATTTTTTTTATTAGCGTTAATTTCACAATAGACCGCCTGCAGTATCGCTCTTTTGAATTTACCAATCTGCAGTTTCATTGTTGCAAATAGACCCCTTGGGTAGAATCGTTAATTTCATCCTGGGTGTACGGGAAATTTTCACTTCAGGATAAAATAGTCAAAAAATAATAATAATTCAGGGGTCTATCTACGGCAATGAAAGTAAAGGGACAGTAAGTGCGAAAACAAGGATATAGTGGAGGTTCTTGTGCAATTACCCTTATAAGTCTTATATATCTAGCTACAAATGTTCAAGCTCCCCCCATGCATGCACGGACAAGTTACTCTTACTTACTTCCATCAGATACAAAAATTTAATTCGTCAAAAAGATTCATGGTAATTTTCAATAATAATAATTTTTTTTTATTATAGTAACTTTGCCAAAACGTCTCAAAATTAATTATAGTTCTGTGAAAAGTTAAGCCCGCATTATGGAAATATAATCTTGATGCAGGCATATACTGAGATGGGGGAAGCCGGACTCTTTCAAGGGGAAGAAGTATGGAACAAGATCAAACAACAAACTGAGTACGCCAAAGCCAAAACATTTTGCGAATGGAAAATATACGCAGCACATGTGGAGATCGACAACAAGAATCCAGCACATTATAAGGTTAAATTACTGGTTCTCTCGCTGAGAATCAATGAACAGCCTGCAACTAAATGACTTTGACCCTGTGAAATTTGCAATGTCAGCACAATATGGACACTAATAAGCTGTATGTGTTGATGCAGTGGAGAATAACAATGTCCTCGTATCTCCTTTTCCTTTTTCTTTATTTCGTAGTGTGGTGATGAAATACGTTTTGCCTTTCTGTGGTTGTTGCTTGTTAAATAATGAAGTGAAGTTTGCTAGTGGCTATATGTAGAGCATGTCCATATGTAGAGCATCTTGTGCGCAACGGAAATTTCGGCAGCACCTCTGGTACTCGACAAGAGAGTAGATCTCAACTAAATCTCTGTTTCACAAAGAAAACAAGAACCGAAAGCAAAATATCTCAACAAAGTGGGATATCAGCTCTTCCTCTCATCAGTTCTAGGACTAACCTGTCGAGAGAACCTAAGCAAGGTATTACAACGTGGTTCGGCAAATTGCCTACGTCCACGGGGCAAGGAGGGGGGAGATCTACTAATAGAAGGAGAGAGTACAAATAGGGTTTACAATCACACAAATTAAACCCTCAAACAATCCCTCACAGTCTCTCTCTCAAAAGAGCCTTTGTTTTTCTTGTTGCACGCAGCCCAAGAAAACCCTCTGCCTTTTCACAGCACCCCCTCTTTTTGCACGAAGCTTGCACGCCGCCGCTACTTGCACAAAGACAATGAAGAGACAGCCGAAATTTTTCTTCACCCTCTGTTCTTGCACACCAACCTAGGTTACGAATAGAAGAGAAGTATATAGTTGCAGTACATTGGCTATCGGGTGGGCTTTGTCCAGGAAACAAAAGCTTTGCACCAGCTCGTAGCCCCCGCAATCACTTCATGTGGGTGTTGCTTTGCTGCCGCTATCTCTTCACGGGGAACGTGGTGGCCCACGTTCACAAACTTGATGGCCCCTTATCTCCTCACACGTTCAGACTTGAACGTGTGTGTGGCTAATGTTCACAATTCTCCACCTAAAGCCATAAATTTGCTTTTAGCAGATAGATTTCAGGGAATGTTGTTTTTCAGTGGAACCATTTTATAAGACCAATAGAATATTAGGGACTAAAATGCAATTTCTAAGATTTGAGGCATTATTATGCAATTTTTTAGAATTTAAAGGACTAACATCTAAAAAAACTCTTATTTTCTAACACATTCACTTTCGAAAACTTTTTTCAGGCGAATAAGCACAAAGTTTACTCGTCTGTTCTTTGAACCCACCTACTTTCACAATCACTCTTAGACGCATTGAAATATTTTTGAATTTAATATTTAGCAATTTGGTATAAAATATAAGTTTTAATATTTTTGTTCTAAATGATTAACTACATATATATAGTGCATTTTTAAAATACTTAGACCATTATTTTTTGGGGTTTGTCACACCGATGCTACGACATCGCGCGGATCAATTTTGATCGTTTATTTAGTGACATCCCTTTCTATATAATATATCAAATGACTGGTCAAGAGAATTGCTAAGGCACACGTTTTAAACGGGAATTGATAATGATCCAGTTTAAGTTTTATGTTTTTGCCAATTACTACGTGACTAAATACAATAGCTTGTTCGGTATAGGTAAATATAAATATATAATATACATGTGACGGGCAATGGGCGTGGAAACTGGTGTTCCCACCTCACCTGTAAACTATGTTTTTATCTAAAGACACCCTACACATTGCGGTGGTTCGCGAACGAATGAGCTAAGTATGAACGAATGAGGCACTAAAATTGACGGCGAAATACGCAGGCAAGGAGATATCGCAGCTCGACAGAGCGACGGAGGCTCTAAACAAGAAAGATGAAGCTCTACCCTCGAAGAGATGGAGAAGTTAATTCTTGGTCAGGGTCCGACCACAATCTGCATGGTTTACAATGCCACTGGGGCCCCCATCTATTTCGTTACAGATAAGAACTGGCATGGATATCTTAAGAGCCCCAAATTCCCGGAAAAAATTGAGAATGGGCAGTGGGGTGTTTTTAGTCATTCATCCATGTTGACTGCGCACACCACCGGATTCTCTGCTGCTGTTGTCTATCGCGCCGAGGATATCGTTAGCGGTGACAAGAATGACTGGATGTTTTCTTGGTACGACGGGTTATTGACGAAAGAAGGCGTTCTTCAAAAGGTAACATTAGGAGGCTCAGGCTATTATGATTTTTTTTATTAGCGTTAATTTCACAATAGACCGCCTGCAGTATCGCTCTTTTGAATTTACCAATCTGCAGTTTCATTGTTGCAAATAGACCCCTTGGGTAGAATCGTTAATTTCATCCTGGGTGTACGGGAAATTTTCACTTCAGGATAAAATAGTC